GTGGTAGCGTGCACCTGTAGTTCCAGCTACTTGGAAGGCTGAGGCAGAAGGATAGCTGGAGAGCCCAGCAGGTCGAGGCTGTGGTGGCCGGGAGTGGCCACTGCACTCCTCTGGACAACAGAGTGAGACTCTAACTCAAAAAATAAAAATAAAAAAATAAAAAATAAAAAGTGGGCAAAAGACATGAATAAACATTTCTCAAAAGAAGATATATGGGCAGCTAACAACCACATGAAAAAGTGCTCACCTCACGAATCAGCAGAGAAATGCAAATCAAAACCACATTGAGATACCCCATAAACCCAATAAGAATGACCGTCATTAATAAAACAAAAAAAAAACACAACAGATGCTGGCACAGATGTGGAGAAAATGGAACGCTTCTACACTGCTGGTGGGAATGCAAAGTAGTTCAACCTCTATGAAAAATAGTATGGCAATTTCTAAAATAACTGGAAATTGACCTTCCATATGACCCATCAATCCCCCTACAGGGAATATACCCAGAGGAACTGAAATCATTCTATCAAAAAGATATCTGCACACACATGTTTATTGCAGCACTATTCACAATGGCAAAAACATGGAACCAACCATGCTGTTCATCAAAACTGAACCAGATAAAAAATAATGTGTGACATATACACAATGGAATATTATGCAGCCATAAAGAAGGACAGACCTATGGACTTCCCAGCAACTTGGATGGATTTGGAGTCTATCATACTCAGTGATCTATCACAGAAACATACAACTGAGTACCACATGTTCTGCCTCATGAGTGGACCCAGAACACCTATCATAATACTGCAAAAAAGGGATTGGCAGCATGTTTGATACTAAACCAGGCGAAGTGAGGTTGAATGGCAGGCCCTAAACTTCACCACTTATGTACCCGATCCTGACTTGTACTCCACAAACTTAAAAAATAATTAATAAAGAATAAGAGAACTACAACACTAAAGCAAGTAGAAAAAAAAATTAGATCAGAAATCAAGATAATCAAAGATGGGAAGCCAATAGAGAAAATCAACAAAATCAGAACTGACTCTTTTCAAATGAATCATGCTAACCAAAGAGAGAGAGAACACTCAAATTACTAATATCTGTAATAAGTTATCACCACTACTGGTCCCATGGGCATGAAAAAGACATTTAAAAAATTGAAGGACAGCTCTGTGCTCACCAACTTGTTAATGTAGATCAAATGGACCAATATCTTGAAATACACTAAATACCAAAACTCACATAAGGAGAACTAGATAAAATGTATAGGCCTATATCTATCTATGAGATAAATGTAATTAATCATTAATAACATTCTAAAAAATAAAACAGCAGGACTAGATCATTTCATTACAAAAAATTTAAGAAAAAAATGATGCCAGTTATCTGGATAAACTTTTTTTCCAGAAAACAGAAGCAAAGGGAACACTTTCTAGTTCATTACACACGGCTAGCATTATTATAATATCAAACCAGATAAAAATACAAGGAAAACAACAGACCAATAACTTTTGTGAATATTGGGGCAAAAATTCTCAACAAAATATTAACCAATCAAATGTATCAAAACACATACCATGACCAAGCAAGATGTATTTCAAGTGTGCAAAGCTGATTCAATATTTGAGAAACAATTAACATAATTTTCATTAATAGACTAAAGAAGAAAAAACATGATTCTATCAATAGATGCAGAAAAAGTATAAAACAAATCCAATGCCCATCCATGATAAAAACTCTCAGCAGAGTAGGAATAAAGGAAAATGTTCTCAACTTACTAGAGAAACTTCAAAAACCTACAGTTAACATCATACTTAATGGATAGAAATTTAGACACTTTGTCAATAAGGTTAGAAGCAAAGCAAATCTATTTTCTTTCACCACTCCTCTTCAACATCAAACTTAGAATCTTAGCTAAATGATAACACAAGAAAATAAAATAAAAGGTATGCAAGTTGGGAATGAGAAAAATTATCCTTGTTCACAGAGGGCATGATTGTCTATGAAGAAAATCCCAAAGAATCAACACCACCAACAAAAAGCACCTAGAACTAATAAGATAATTTTAATAACAAAGGTGCAGGTTACAATTAGTATACAAAAGTCTATTATTTTCCTATATACCGGCAATGAACAACTGGAATTTGAAATTTAAAATGAAACCACTTATACTAACACTAAAAAAATAAAATACATGGGTAAAATTATAACAAAACATATAAAGAATCTAAATAAAGAAAACTACAAAACCCTGTGAAAGAAATAAAAAATCAAAATGACAGAGAGTTATTCCATTTTCATGAATAGGAAGACTTAATATTGTGAAGATGCTATTTTTCTCAACTTGTACTAGAGATTATATACAATCCAAATCAAAATTCCAGTGGGTTATTTTGTGAATGTGGATATTCACAAACTGATCCTAAAGTTTATATAGAATGGCAAAGGCTCAGAATAACCAATACAATATTGAAGGAGAAGAACAAAGTCGGAGGACTGATATTACCTGACTTAGCTACATAGATTAGTGAACCAGAATAGAGATCCCAGAAAAAGACTCATACAATTATAGTCAATGTATGACAAAGTTGCAAAGGCAATACTATAGAGAAAAGATAATCTTGTCAACAAATGGTACTTAAATCATTAGACATCCATACTCACTATAACTAATCTAGACACAGAGCTTATACTAGTCATAAAATAACTCAATATAACTTAAATATAAAACACAGAACTATAAACTTTCTAGAAGATAACATAGAAGAAAACCTAGGTGATTTTTGTGTCTGGCAATAAGTTTTTAGGTGCAACACTAAAACCACAATCAAATAAGAGAAAAACTAATAAATGAGACTGTATTAACAATTAAAAACTTTTCTGTGAACGACACTGACCACAGTGCCAAAATTTGGAGAAAATATTTGCAAACCAGATACATGATAAAAGACTTATAGTCAAAATATACAAAGAAACTGACAACTCAACATTTAAAAAGCAAACAACTCAATTAAGAAATGAATAAAAGATCTAAACAGATGTATCACCAAAGCAGATATGGAGATGACTAGGAAGCATTTGGAAAGATTCTCTGCATATTATTTCATTAGGGAATTGTGAATAAAGACAATAATTAGATAATGTATCTATTAGTATAGCTAAACAGCAGGAAATACCAAATGCTGGTGAGGATATAGAGCAACAGGTACTCGCATTCATTTGGAGGAAATTTTGGCAGTTTTTTTTTAAGGTTTTGGAGTACATGTCAGGATTGGGTACATAATCATCAGAGAAATGCAAATCAAAACCACATTGAGATACCCCTACCTTTCCTTTCTTGAAAGAGATGTGGTCGAAGTAATGCCAGTGTTTTTTCTAATTTCATACTTTTCATCTTGGTAAAATCAGGAAAAAAGACATCAATTAACCGAGTAACATTCGTTGCGTTCTCTTCAACATAGCAAAACTGAGATATATGTTGTCTTTCCAGATATTCTTGTAAACTGTTGAAATAAAAAGTATAAGATAATTATAAATTGAAGTTTAATAACCATGCCAACAAATTAAAACCAATAATATGTACTCAAATTAACTGTAGTTTATTAAAAGACAAAAATTGAATTTCATGTAAAGATAAATTGTATCTGCCTATTATATCCAAGAATATGATACTTAATTCAACTTTTTATTTGAACCTATTCCAAAAATCAGTTACATATCATCTATGTTTGACTTTATGAGAGGATAAACAAAGAACAAAATAAAATACTATTTTTTTTAAAAGAAAGGTATTATTTCTCCTATGTGGAACTTTTCAGATAGCTTTTTTGTTTTTATTTTAATTTTATCTTTGAATTAAACATTACTAAGAAGTATATTTCATTTTTCATTTAGAACTCTTTGGTTAACTTTTTCTTATTTATTTACAATTTTATTGGCTCATAATTGACAAATATGTGGTAAAATAGTCATTCAAATTTGTAAAGGTATTTTTTGTGAAAAAGTTATTTGTGATATGTAAGGTTGTATTAATATATATACTATTTCCTATATTATAATTCACTTATTACATATTATTTATGGAATATGTATTTTCCATTCCTCTATTGTCTATTTTTGTCTGCTGACAAGTATTTTTATCTAGTTTTACTTCTTTCTCTTTTTGGGGGGAGTGATTGGAGTCTTACTCCATCGCCCAGGCTGGAGTTATTTTTCTAATACTTTCATTCTTATGTATTTATCTGTTATGTTGGTAGGGCCATGATTTTTGGTTGTTTGTTTACTACACTGTCATAAATGTTACCTTCTACATTGTGTCTTTCCTTATCAAATTTAGAACTCGTAATGGCTTATTTCAATACTTTATTTTTCCTAGTAATTTTCGGCATCTCTTTATTATTATTTATTTTTGTGTGTTTCCATTTATAATCTTCATCTAGACTCAGGTGTTAACATTTTTGCCACATTTGTTCTCTCCTCCTTCTCTGTCTCCTGCTTTCAGCTCCCCCCTTATTTGTGTGGGGGTATGGGAGATGAGAGCTTGTGGAAGTGAGATCCACTGGAGAGTAAGTTAAAGATATTTTAACCATACACCTCTAAATAGTATACTTCAGGAAATCTTACACTGACATAAAGCTATCATTTCATAAACAGTCCATATTCAAATTTCACCAGTTTTCTAATACAATCTTATCTAGACGAATTATTTTTTTAAATCCAGGTTCATACATTCTGTGGAGTTGTCCTATCTCTTTACTTTCCTCTAATCCCCAGCAGTGACTTTGTCTTTCATGATACTGATATTTTGAAATGTTCAGGCTATTTATTTGTAGACTTCCCCTCATTTTTGATGGTTTCAAACTATTGGATGGCCTGCTAGGTTCCTATTGCATTCAAGTTATGATCTTTGGCAGGGAACCTACTGAAATGATTGTGTCCTTCTTGGTCCATCACTTACGCCATCATATAGGAGGTGCACAATATCAGTTTTTCCCATTATTGGTGATGCTAGCATGGGTAAGATGGTATCCCCCAGTTTTCTCTACTGAAAAGCTGCAGTTTCCCCTATATGTTAGTAAGTAATCGATGAGGACATTATACTAAACTGTGAATATGTTTTTCACACAGTATTTTTAGCATTCATTGATGATTCTTGTCTGTATAACTGCTACGATTGTTTTTAATTTAGTTCATTTTTACCTTAGCTAATCAATCTCTAGTTTTGATGGAAAGATGAACATTTTCATATTTAGTATAATAATAATAATATTCTTGACTTTATTCTTTCTTAGTTTATATGGACTCTATTTTAAATTATGGTTTCTTCTTTTTTCTTTTCCTTATTTTGCTGGTCTGAGCTAGTTGCTAATCATTCCATGTTTTTCCCTTGTTAATGTGGATGTTCTGCTACACTTATCCACTGCACTAATATTTATTGTCGTTTTCCTTCTCCTGTTTTCAGATACATATGTTCCAGATATGTCTTGAATTCTGACACACTATTTCCCAACTTTAGCATTCCATTTATGCCCCCTTCTGCATACTCAAATAAGAACCTTAAAGTGCTTTGTTACCCACTTCATCTCATCTTTTCCCTCCCCTCTCTGAGACCTTTGAAACATTTTGCCCAACACACAGCAACTTCTAAGTCTTATCAAGATAATTTAGAATCCAGGAGAGTTTCCTTATATTTCTAGAGTCCTTCATAACCTGTTAAATTTTATAACCTAGAATTATGTAATATGTGTGTGTGTGTGTGTGTGTGTGTGTGTGTGTGTGTGTGTGTGTGTGTGTGTGTGTGTTTTCAGTGATTTCAAGGTTCACTGATAACAATTATTTTCTTTCTCTTTTCTTCCCATATTTTTTGTTTGGTTGAGTCTTTTCTCAAATATTTTCCATTAAAGGAGTATATAGGTACTTGAAATACATTTCTTTGCTCTTCCAGGCTAATATCTCAGCTTTATAAAGAATGCAGGGGCTGTATTTTAAGTTTCTTTTCTCTCAGCAGTCTTTTGTTGTTGTTGTTCAGCAGTCTTATAATGAGTCCCATACCAGTCAGGTATTTTTCCCTTTAAGTACTTATTCTCAATTGCTGTCAAGTGTGCAGTTGGTGGAAATAATTCACTTAAAGTGCAAGGGAAATTTTCCACCAGAAATTTTCCACCAGTAATAAACAACTAAAAGTCTGGCTGCTTTTGATCATCACCATGAAGAAGTAACTCTAAACCATGTTAGTGACAAAATACTTTAAAAATCTTTTGTTCATCCGTATTCTAAACAATTCCTTTCATCTGTGTTGAATATATGTTGAATACTATATATATAGAATTTATATAGAATATATATATATATGCTTAGAATTCACACATTTTATTATTTATCCTTTAACAAGCAGTGTACTCTACACTGTCTCTACATGGCAGAATCGGTTCCAAAACAACAAAGCTATAGGCAGCATTGCAATTTTTAGAATTGTTGTAAAATAGGAATTTTGCATAGCTATTGCTTATTTTTCAAAATGACTATATAGCAAAGACCAATTTTGAGAACATCATTGACAAATCTTAAATCTTAAAACAAAATTCATACTTTATGTGATAGATGAATATTTGTTCTTTATTTCTGTGATAACTAATATATATATGAGAGGGGACCTCCCCAAACCAGAATTATCTCTTTGGAGGATAAGTCCCTTGAATTACAGGCTTCCTCCACTAGGTAAATGTTCTAGGAATCCATCCGAATTAGTGTACCAGCTAGCATTGTTGTGAGAGGCTACGTTTGACTTCAGGAAAATTGTTTTTTGGAAATTGAACTCTTTTTCCATTTCAGTGCCCACCCTGCACTGAAAAATGGCATGACCCCCATACCCTACTTTCCCTGTCCATCTGATCTAGTCCCAGTTGTCCTTTTTTTTTTGTTTCCCCAGATGAAAAAAAGTACTCAAGGGGAAACATTTTACTGATGTGGAAGAGGTGAAACAAACAAACAAAAAAGCCTGGCAGAAACACTAAAAGGCACCAAAATTGATGAGTTCACAAAACTTCTCACCAAATTGGTGAGTGTCTCAATATTGCACCAAATGGAGAGTACTTTCAAGATGACTGAAGTTTAAACATGTAAAAATAAATACATAATTTTTAAATAAATGAATTCCTTTTGGGGGGGTTCCCCTTGTATCTGTCTTCTTTATAAAAATATAAATATAATTAAACCGTATTCATCTATCATTTTTTTATCTGAGTTGTTGTAATATTTATTTTTCACTCATGTTTATATACACAAAAGTCCATAAAATACTGTTTTCACTGTCTGTTTCTTTTCTGGCAATATTATTTGCCTCATCCAATAATTACTATTTTATAAAAATGTTGTTATATGGAAGAAGGAGAAGTGTTAAGAAAATGACCTGCAGGTTTCAAACATATTAAGTATACAACTGATTATTCTGTCTGGAAACAGTGTGCAGTGTTTCTTTCCAGGATGTTCCTGTATTTATTAATATTTTCGCATCAGTTGAGTGTAGATCGTTGCAAGCCCTTGCAATTGGCAGACACATGTATTTCTTTATTCTGTGGGAAAAAATTTCCCCATTATTTGTTGAATGATAGTGCGACCATCTGTTCTTTTTTCTCTGTATGGAATTTCTCTTGTTAGTACATTGGTCCCCTCAATATAATATCCAGATTGCTAGCTTCTGCTCTCATAACATCTCTCATTTTTCCCCTGTACTTTGAGCTATATTTTGCATCTGATTTTCCAAGTCATTAACCCGAATCTCAAAAGATGATCATATTCTCTCATTCTCCATGAATTTATAGTTCAAATAATGATTTTTGTAATTCAAATTCAAAAGTCTTTCTTAATGTGTATGTAGCACTGGATCTCGAGTCTAATTGTTTTATTTGAAGAATTTCTTTTTGTCCTTAGGTTCTTTTTTACTGGGCTCATGTTGTGGAATGTGTGTATCTTCCTTTCCCTAGTTTTTAGTCTCCCTTAGTCATTTTTCCTTATTGGCTCACTGGGACTTGGGTCTGATTTTTGGTGTGTTAAGTGGTAGAAATCCTTTAGCTGGAAGGCAAAGTGACCTCTAGGCTCCGAGTCTGTGCTATAGAAGCCAGCAGGTCATCATTTCCCTATAGCAACAATTTTTAAAAGTTCCCAGAGAGCTAGACTTCAAGAGTAGGAAATTCAATACTACTGGTCTTTTACTTGACTGTTTAGGAGTCAGGAAGACCTAAGAAGTCCAGTGTCAACCTTCTCCCTGTAAATCACAAGTCTGTTTCCTCTTCTCAAGGTCTATATTGTCTCTAGGTTCTTGCCTCTTGGGGAGCTCAGGAATTCCTCAAGATCTCAATGGAGAAAACACCTCACCATCCTCACCTTCTTTTGAGCTATAGCTAGTTGCTTATTGGTGCAGGTTCCCTTTTATTCTAGAGAGGCAAGAAAGCACTGGAGATGAGAGTAGAGAGTCAAGGTACAGAATTCAGACTGCTCTGATCCCAGTTACACCTTTAAATATTATTTTGGAAATGGTATCTATTATCTTTCATTTAAATGAAAATTTTGTATAAGGAAAAAAGCTAGCTCTCTAAAGCTACGACTTTTTATAGGTACAAATAGGCTACCAAGAATAGAAGAGACAACCTCTGTGGACAGAGAAATGCAATATATTATCTGAGGTAGGAGATGTCACCTTTGCCCAGTCATAAAGATTTCAACCTGAAAGTGACCTCAGAGGTCGTCATCTAATTCTCCCCCTCATTTGTATCTCTGGGACTTGGCATACAGTAGGACTTCAATAAATATTAGATGAGTGACTCGATGCATAACAGAATGAGTGAATGAATGAGTGAAGACTGCTAGTATCTACATGTCCAACTTTATTTAGGCAATGTAGCTAACCACACCTTTCTAATCTGTAGAAAGACGGAAGCAAAGATAAATGATATTGTCCTTTGACTTCTTGGTACATAGGCAGACAAATGAGACAGATATGAAAATAATGTGTTGAAGAGTCATCATGAAGGAATCTGGAATGTGAATGAAAAATAAAAGTATTTGTATCCTGTCTCCCTTGTTCTTCCTCCCTGCCTTCTGCCTCCTGCAGCCGCTGAAGCAGGGAACTATCAATGGCATGGAAAAAGTTTCCCCATGCCCCGTGGATTCACAAGCTGTGTTTGCCCCTGTAGGAATAACCAGCGGTCAAAGTCCTGGGGCTCTACTGCTGTGAACATAGTTCTTGTTCATGGGGGGATGGGAGGTGGTCACTAATCACTTCCAGTCGAATTGCTGCTCTGCCTTTAACCTCTCTTTTGCCTCACCCTTCATCCTCCATCACTCAGTGGGGAGAGCAAGCAAGCGCAGGGGCTGAGACTTTTTGTCTTTAATCCTTTAGGTTCTGGATCTACTTAAAAGATGTCAGATGGAGCTGACAGAACCTGTTAGGCTCTCTCTCCAGAATGAGAATTGGGAAAACAAGAATAAGCAACAAACCAGCATGCTCTAACCAACCTATGCTGCCTGCTTGCGGCCATTGCTTGGGATAGACATGGGCAAAAGGCAAATGAGTGTCTAAGTTTAGAAAGGAAATACTGCACACTGTGCCAAAGTAGGGTTTACACATCTCATTTCACTCCTACTCTGCCAATTAAAAGGGTAAAGTGTTTCTGCTGTTATGTAGGTACAACTGATATGTCTCAAAGTTGGATGTAATGGAGACCAATTATCCAAACGATAGCCCCAATAGAATAGTGACTAGCCTTATACCAGTTACATTAACTAGTGTTTCACAAAATATGTTTTGTGAATGATTCAAAAAATTCTGGTATAAAATCTGACATTCTTTTTTTTTTTTTTTTTTTTGGTCAGACTCTCACTGTTGCCCAGGCTGGAGTACAGTGGCATGTTCAGGGGTACCAGAGCCTCAAACTGCTGGGCTCTGGCGATCCTTCCACCTCAGCCTTCCAAGTAGCTAGAACTACAGGTGTGCACCACAACACCCAGTTAATTTTTTGATTTACTGCAGAGACAAGGTCTCACCATATTGTCCAAGTTGATCTCAAATCCGCATGCTCAGGCAATCCTCTTGTCTCTGCCTCCCAAAGTGCTGGGATTACAGGCTTGAGTCACCATGCCTGGCAAAATCTGGCATTCTTTTAGCCTAACACACCACACCCAAACCTGCTCTCTGCCCATCACTGTCATTAAAAATTTTTTTTAATTCCTGAAAGTAACTACTTCTGTTTCCAAAGTCTTTGACAACATTAATTTACCTTTTGAGTTTCTTTATTCTGTGTAAAACCTGGCAATGTTGTATGTTATTAGGACTTCCCACTATCTAAAATGTAAGACATCACAAAGAACCAACAGATGTAGTCACTCAAGAAAAGTCACTACAATTCATTAATAAGACAACATGGAATGTTCTGGAGATTCCCAGTCAGAAATTCAATGCAGGTTGGCTACCAAGCAGAGGAGACACATCCCATGAAGACTCAAGAATCAGATACAGTATGTTCCTGTTCAACCAACAGGGACAGCTCTGATAACTGTGTTAAACTATGGATTCTCTGAGTCTTTTTTTTTTTTTCCTTCTTTTTTTGGGTCGAACTCTCACTCTGCTGATCAGGCTGGAGTGCAGTGGCACGCTCATGACCACTGCAGCCGCAACCTGCTGGGCTCAAGCGATCCTTCTGCCTCAGTCTTCCAGGTAGCTGAAACTACAGACCTGCACCACCACACCCTGCTAATTTTTTGATTTATTGTAGAGGTGAGTTGCCCAGGCTGGTCTTGAACCCCTGAGCTCAGACAATCCTCTCGCCTCTGCCTCCCAAAATATTAGGATTACAGGCATGAGCCATAATTCTCTGAGGATTAAAGGGCACAAACAGTAGCACATAAAACCAAAATTATGTAAATTACATATGTTCATTTTCAAGTACTTAAAATCCATCAGTAAGAATATACAATCATGCTGTTTTCAGCAATTTCTAACCATTGACTTGTTTCTTATCCTTAGGGCCCAGAGGAAGTGGAAGGGGAGGGTGGAGAGTAAGAGACTGGTGGGAGGGATTATGCATGGTTCTAATAAACTCCTCAAGTCCCAGTCCATGAGGCCAGACTGATAAACTCAGCCTTAGAAAGATAAGAAGGGGAAATTCCTTCTTTCCTAATACTCTTGACATAAATGTTCAGGGCAACCCAACCCTTCTCAATATACAATATTTTAGATTGACAGGAAGAAACACTCGTGGCTTCAACATAGAAACACTTGCCCCTAGGTTTTGAGATATTTGGACATTATACTTCATTACCTAATAACACACCATAAATAATAAAATTCCTGATCTTGAGCTACCTATATCGCTTCTTCTTCATTGCTCCAGTTGCGATCTTAACCTCAGGTTGGTCCTCAGATAGTTCTTTGGCTTCAGTCTCAGACTGAGGTTCAATGTCTTCATAGATAGACTGTTGTTCTGTTCCTTGAGATACAACTAGAACATAGCTTAAGCCACTTGTCATCAACGAGATGAACTCTTCAAAGTCAGGCTACAAAATTAAAAGATAAGCTGTTTACTTCAGGCACCCAAGATGGATGGACTAAAATGGGGGCCACCACCCAAGTCAAGTGAAATTTTTCCCTTCATGACCACTGGAAAAGGGAACGTTATCCTTATACAACTGTTAACAAATACAGTTTTTAAAAAATTAGCAAACAATAATTTTACATGTTAATGGGTTACACAGTGATGGTTTGATATATATATAATGTATATTATATTAATGTATATATATGATACATAGTGATCAGGTCAGGGTAATTCTGTGTCCTTTAACAAATCTCTCCTTATCACTTCTTTCCCCTTACAATTCCCAGGCTCCAGTATCCTATGATTTTGAGGGATAGAGGTTCACAGTTAGCAGGAATTGATCTTAAAAATAGTCTAACAACAATTGTTAAACTTTAGGATGCTTCTAAGTCATCTGGAGGACTTGTTAAAACACTTATTTCTGGAACCCAATCCCAGAGTTTCTGACTGAGAAAGTTAGGAATAGGGCCAAGGAATTGAATTTCCTTAAAAGTTCACAGTTGACACTTATGCAGCTAGTCTAACCTTTTTCTTCTACACATGTAGAAGCTGGGGCCAAGGAACATGGTTTGAGTGATACCACTAGTTCTACAAGGTGCTGTTTCATAAAAGTTTCTGTGACAATGACCTTGCTATGTTCATTCTTCTGCCCTCTCCAACACAGTCATAAATGGCTATTGTTTACTTGACATGTGGCTAATGCAATGGAGACTCCGAATTTTTAATGTTATCTAATCTCTATGAATTTGAAATGTCCACATATATCCATACTGGACAGTACATTTCTAGAAGCCAGGTCTCCTAACTCCCAAGCCAGTACACTTTTCAATATACACCACTACCTCTATTATATTTCCCCAGGCAAAAAGTCTGAGAGAAAGGTGTTTAGGTAAAGAAATGATTAAAGCATTCTTGTGAAACTGATGACATGGGGCCTTCCACCTAGGATAAAAATCTACAGGAAAAGACTGGATATTCACTTTCAGAGGACTGATGGAGGGAATCCTGGAGGACAGAACATAAGAAGATCTTCAATTCGACAAAACAAGATTGGACCATCCAGTATTGGTGGGCAGTCATTATTTTTACCAGAGATTTCTTCAGAACCACCATCGTTAGCATCACCATAATATGGACGCCAAACAGGGATACCATGTTGGTCAGACTTACTCATTTGCTTTTCTGTAATGAAGGTCTAAAGTTTATAGGAATTGACAATATTTGAATACACAGTGGTCTTTTTTTTTTTTAACTTTCTTACCTGGTCCACTATTTGACTATGTAAGGTGATAATTTGTTCTTCAGTGAGCACTGTCTTATCCTCTGCATCAATGACAAATCCCGCACTGGCAATCTTCCATTAGAGAGTAAGGTCAAAACCAGATGTGCCGTGGGACAACATGTAAAACAAGTTAAGGATGTTTGTTTCCTGAGCTGAACAAACCATCCAGATTCCAATGCACTTTATATAAAGACTTCAGCAAAATCCATAGTGGTTCAGAAAACCACAAGCAAAGAAGACCCTTTCATAACCTCTAGATATCTTGTTTCAAGATTTGAACATGATGTTCTGAAATATTTCTACTAGAGAGAATTGCTTCATAATGTAAAAACTTAATTACAAGGAAATATATCATATATTTATGAATTATTCATAAAGATAAACTCATCAATACTTCTTACATCTTACATCTGTTTACAAATTGTTTTAACTTTCTTTTTTCCATGCTTTAATGTGTGAAGGCTATAACTCATAATCTAGTACAACTTACTTTTATAGCAACAAAAATGTACAAACTATTAGGAAAAATAAACTTTAAGATTTACCTGTTTTAATAAAAATTTAATTTAATGACAAAATTCAGTTTGCTTGTCACTCAAGTGTAATAAATGTAGCAAAGAAATGTATTGAGGTAAATGTGGCAAGTCCAATGAGGTATTAAACAATGAAATACAAGTGGAACCTGGTTTGAAAGTAACTCACTAAATATCTTAAATGATACCAATGGTGGGCTCAATTTGACTTGCAAGTATCCAGTGCCAAGTACCTTCTGCTTCTATGCAAGTACTCTGCTAGTTCTATTGGCTTTGTTGATATTGCAAGACATTACTTGCACATTAGTGACTAATTGACATTCCAATTTGAACAGTTTCTGAAAATTCGAATCATGTCTTTACTAAGTTGCATAGTATCTGACAAGAAAAAATAAAATCCAAGCAACATTCAAGCTTGATAACATTTCCTTTATTATAGCTTAAAAATGCAATGTGTTCATTTCCTTTTCATTCAAAACATTCCTTGTTTTTTTCTGCCCTGTTATGTAGCCTTTACTGTCTTTAGTGTATTCCAAAGAGGTGAGATATTTAGTAGATATTCATTAAGCCTCTGAAATTTTGTTTATTATGCTAGAATAAATTAAAATAAACTGATGATTAACAGCATTGTCTCAACTCAAAGAACTATGTAACTGTGAAAACTTTCACCATTGTGGCTTTCAACACATACTTTAAAAGGAAACAGTAAATAATGACATGAGGTATTATCTTTAATATACTTTATAAAGTATAAACAATGCAGGACAGAATGGGATACAGTTGGGTGACCTTCCCCATCTCCACATACACACCAGAATCTGGAAAAAATGAAGGGCTGTACTCAGAGAGTTATATTCATTAAATCAACCTATACAAGGGGGGAACTCCCTAAAATGGAATTCATTTATAGAAAATTGTATATTTATTCTCATATGTTTCAACTTCAGTCACCTTTAAAATACTCTCCATTTGATGCAATACACCTATTGAGATGTATTTTCCACTGCTCAAAACAATTTTTGAACTCATCATTTTTTGTGCCTTCTAGTGCTTCTGCTGGTTTTTTGTTTCACCTCGTCCACATCGGCAAAATGTTTCCCTTTGAAGATTTTTTCATCCAGAGAAACAAAAAAAAAATTTGCTTGGGGTGAGATCTGGTGAGTAGGGAGCATGGGGCACTGGGGTCATGCTATTTTGGGTCCAAACCTGCTGAACACTCAATGTGGTGTGGGCAGGTGCATTGTCATGGTGGAAGAGCCAGTCACCCATTTGCCACAACTTTGGATGTTTCTTCCACAAATTGTGGCACAAACTTCTCAAAACTTCCAGATAACATACTGCATACTATAAGAAAGGGATTGGCAGTAGTGGGAAATTGCCATGGGAGGGAGCAGGCGGTGGGGAAACACTTCATCAGTAAGGGAACTTGATCTCAAACCAGGTGATGTGGGGACCAAAGTGAGGTTCAAACTTTACCTGTACAATGACCATTTGTATACCTAACCCTGGATTGTACCCCACATCTTAAAAAAAAAAAATTTGTTAAAAGAAAAGAAAAAAAATGTTAGTTGACCATCTGATCTGGAGGAACAAACTCCTAGTGTACTGCAAGGAGCCCGCCCTCTAAAAGTTAACTCATTTTGTTTTTTGAGGGGCTCCTCCTTTGTAATTGGAAAAGATAGTATATGTCCCATGGCCTGTGGACTTTTTACTATATTTTTGTTTAATCAAAGCTAATGCTGAAGAACGAAAGCGTGATGGGAAGTTCATCAACAGATATCCAACCCCTCCTGGCAACTTCCTTTGTGATCTCTTCTATTGCACAGGCAACATGCTTTCAAATTTCAGTATAATTTTATTGTTCAACACAAAGTCATTTATTGTTCAGGGGTTAGCAAACTACACCTTGCTGTCAAAATATGGACACCGCTTGTTTCTACAAATAAAGTATATTGGAACACAGACACTCATTCACTTACATATTGTTTATTACTACTATCTCGATAGAATGTCAGAGTTAAGCAGTTGTCAGAGACCAGGTGCCAGACAAACTCAAAAATAGCTACTATTTGACCCTTTGCAGGAAAAGTTTGCTGACTTCTGAATTAGAATGTAATTTTTTTCTTTATGAAAGATTTACTTGATCTCTAAAGCAAAATATTAAATTCATCCTTATACTATACTGTACAGAAAAGAATCATACATTTGTAACAAACATACAGAGAATAAAGCAAATTAATGAGTATATAATAAGTTGCATTGTACATAATTAAGAAAGAATATTTGTTACAATCTAATTAAAAAACTATAATTTTTACAATGTATATAGGATGCTCATAGATCAGGATTATTCAAAGAAGGGGACAGGAGTAGATTGAGCCATTGTAAAGACATTAAATTCTCAGAGCCATTGGTGGTACCTAACCTCAGTAGTGCATTATATTCTATTTTACTCTAAATTATAAGTTTATCTCCAAACTAACAACTGAAAGGTTTAAAATATTTTAAAATTGTTTAAAAATATTACTTACTTTTTCTTTAATTTCTCTACTTTTTCTATTAATCATTGCATCGGGTTTGATAATAGCAATGTTATATACTTTTGCTAGGGAAAAAGAAAACAGAATTTCACTTTCTTAGCACAAAATTGAGAAAATGAAGGATCTAGCAATTAGCAATGTAAATTCCTATTGCTCAGTGAATTTCTGACAACTGACAGCTGTGTATTTTACCATGGCATTTCAACCACTAAAGAGTTTCTACTTGGAATCAAACTGCAGTTCCTATATTTTCACCCAGGGGAAGCATTCACAAGAGTTTTTAATAAAGAGTCAAAAAATAAGTAAGTAGGCATGGATGGTTTGCATGCAGATCACATGCATTAGAATCACATTCATATCTCATTCAGCACAATATCACCAGTGAAGTTTCAACTGTGAATTATGCAAGTAAACGCTACAAACTGACAGATTTACCAATGATTCCATCTGCATTCTTATGATGAACTTTTGGTGCAAGATAGCTCACTGACTTTGACTGCTTCCTCCAGAGAATGAACACACACACACACACACACACACACACACACACAGACAGAGAGAGAGAGAGAGAGAGAGAGAGAGAGAGAGAGAGAGAGAGAGAGAGTTCAGGGAAGGCATGAAATTGTTAACTACAAAGTAAACCAAGAGCATGGGTCATCAAGGAAGAAATTATTTTCACAAGTTTTTGGAAGATAATGAAGGATGAAATAGGAAGCTACTGTCCAAATTAGTCACTGGAAACAGGAGCCCATTTTCCTGTGTACCTCTGAAAGTCTCCAGACCCAGAGACCAAAGGCGAGGTGAGTGAACATAAGAGGGTGCTTTTTCATAGCTGACTCTTGCAAGGCACAATCATCATTTATCCAAATAGTCCCTGCTGTTACCAAAGTTTTGCTGCAACAAGTGATGCTGCAATGAACACCCATTTACAGAAAACCTGTGCCGTTACTATAAAATGAATTTACTTACAAACTCTTTCATAATGTGCTGCCCCGGCATCTTCTGAGTCTATTAACACAATTTCATTATACTATGAAAAAGGCAAGTAGAACAGTTATGTTGTAATGTGATAGTGAATGGATTTTTAGAAATTTTATTTCAAGTAAATATTTATAACCTAAGAGAGAGAATGTAAAGTGGAAAGATGCTTGTATTTTTCTAAAGCTACTTTCTCCAGCCTTCCATTGAAATACAATAAGGAAGATCTGTAAATGATGGGGGTAGAAATAATGCCTATGTGCAATATGAAAAGGGTAAAAGTATAAAAACCTTAAAAAATAAGAATATCATGAGAGATAAAATAAGAACAAAGCAGAAATTAACAAATAAAAAGCAGTAAATACATGATTTTCATAGTAAAGACAAAAGGGGCATTTGATAAGTTTTAAGATTCATTTTTGACTATCAGTCATAGTAAATTTGGAACAGACGGATATCTTTTGAACTTCTAAAAATATCAGGAAGGACCAGGGTTCTTAGCTTCCAGGAAAGTTGTGACTATGCTTCTGTTATTCTATAAACTATGTAAAAAAAATTCATTATCACATTTCTGATACACATTGTTAAAATGCTTCCCAGAAAGATTGCATCATTTAGACATCTAGACAGTTATAAAATTAGAAAACATGCTTTAGGAAAACATCAAAAAGGTAACAGTTTTTAAAAACTAAAATAGTTGTTATTCCAAAATAGTACCTGAGGACGAACCATTTCACCTGCTGCAATTTTCTTCTCCTCATTGATCAATTCAATAACTGTTTTATTAACAAGTGGTGCATTTGCACCTTGAATCATTGCAATAATTTTGCCATTCTATAGGGGAAAAGAAAACATGAAGGAATTTTTATTTGTAAAGTCAAGATTTAACACTTAAGCTGAACTAAGTTTCAGCGCCCTCCCATCCTCACCAATCCTCTTTTAAAAAGCTATTGTAATTCACCATTTTTAAATTAATGTGTTAATGGTGTGAAAGTTTGGTTTGATTTGGAGAACTCAGTTCTTTGGCTGTCTTGTCTTCTTACATCCAAAGGCATGACAAGGTCCTCTAGCAGCTTGTGGCAAGGTGTCCCATGTAACCTCCCCTTAATCATTCATGCTTCAAACTTGAAAGATTCAGGATAGGCCTTCTGACATTGCTTTGAATAGCTATTTCTGACACCATGCCCCTTTTTTTCATCTTTCAACAAGTATTTACTAGCATCTGTTTACCAGCACCTACCAGGCATAATGGGAAGGAACAATAGGTCTGGTACTTAACCTAATTAATTTTTTTAAAATCTACAAAAACAGAAACATACATGAAATAACAACCAAGATAGCTACTATTAAGAGTGGTACAGAGCACTCAGAGCACTCACAGAATGTGTACTGGTCAAGGAGATCAGGGAAGATACAGATATTAGGAAATGATTCTTGGTTTAAAATATGAAAGATGGGTGAGACGGAACTAGGCAAAAAGGAGAAGGAAGAGCATTCAAGGCCAAAGGAATAGCAGACGCAAAGGTCCTAAGGCTGGAAGAGAAGTAGAGGGGCCTGGTGACAACGTGAGGGGAAGCCTGGTATGAGATAAAGCACGGAGACCTAGTGGGAGGTCGAGCAAGCAGAACATCGTGGGCTGTGAAGGATGTAGCCTTCACCTAAGTACAGTCAGAATGTTTTAACAGAGGCTGTGAACATGATTAGAACTGTTGCTCATAAAAAGTATTTCTTCTATTGTGTGGGGAAAAAACTAGAGGGGAAGCAAGGGAGAACATTTGTGTAAATATTAGAAACTACTCTAGAAATGAAGATGAGAGATGGTGGTCACTCCGTCAGAGGCAGTGATGGTGGAGATGGGACTGATGGTTAAAAAGAGTATGAAGGAGACTTGGGAAAATTGACAGGTCCAAGGTATGGTTTGATTGGGTGTGATGTAAAGAGAAGTCACAAGGATGACTCCAGTTACTCACTTGGAAACTGGATAAATTATAAATTATGATGTTATTTGCCAAATGAGGAGACACAGGAACAGGACCATGTTTTGTGGGAAGGAGAGTCTGGAGTTCGTCGTGAGATACTATTGAGGAAACCAAGTCAACAGGTCAAAGCATCAGTTGGAAACACAAGTCTGGAGCTCAAAGTATAGGATTTAGCTAAAGATGTCAATGGGATTTACTGATGTCCAGGTGATGATGATTGAACATGTGTGTAGAGAAAATTTTCTAAGGAGAGTATATAATATGGTAGTGTCAATATTCAATAAACCTGTGAGAAGGACAGAAGGGAGGAGTATTCAGGAGGGTGAAAGGAAAACCAAGTCACAAAAGCGTAAAGAAGCAAATGCTTCAAAAAGGAGGGCATGGTCATTATATTTCTCGCATTTGAGAGGTGCAAATGATAAATACCTAAATATGCCTACTATATTTAACCCAGACTGGATACATTAGCATCTCAGCAATTTTGGTGGAATAATCAGATAAAAATCAGATGAAATGAGTTGAGGAGTTAGTGGAAGGGAAAGAAAAGAAACAAAATTAAATACAGAAACTCTCCCAAGCAATTTAGCTGTGCAGTGAAGAAGAGAAATGAGTGGTAGTTGGAGAGGGGTAAAATATCAAAAAGAACTATTATTTTTTAATTGAAAAGATACAATCATATTCAAAGGTCAATGAGAAGGATTTAGCTGAGAAAGATTTAAATGAAACCTGAAACTTTAATTACCACTTCTCACTAAAGGGAATCTTTTCGCCAATTCTGTGAGTTTTCTAATATCCGTTGAGAAAGGTCTTCCTGCTGAAACTTGTTGGAATGAAATTGTTAATGGTTAAGAAATCTGACCAATATGAAAGACCATTGTGGGAATATTTGAATAAACAAACAATAGGCCGGGTGCAGTAGCTCAAGTCTGTAATCCCAGCACTTTGGGAGGCTGAGGCGAGAGGATTGCCTGAGCCCAGGGGTTCGAGACCAGGCTGGGCAACTTGGCAAGACCTCGTCTCTACAATAAATCAAAAAATTAGCTGGGTGTGGTGGTGCGTGCCTGTAGTTCCAGATGTTTAGAAGGCTGAGGTGGAAGGATCGCCTAAGCCCAGAAGGTCAAGGCTACGGTAACTGTGAGTGTGCCACTGTACTCCAGCCTGGGCAACAGAGTGAGACACCAACTCAGAAAATAAAAACAGTAGGCTTGGTGGTGGTTTTGTGATCAGAAAATTAGATTCTTAAATTAATGATTATGGATGTGGAGCAACAGGTATAAGGTCTGAGGGATGACTGCAGAAGTAACTAGATGAAGTTTACTGGAAGAAAAGTAAAGTGGTAAGGAGGTCAAGAATTGAGAGGCCAGGAGATTGGGTGAGTTGCCAGTGTGAATCCTGAAGCCCCCACAGTGATGGCAACACTTAAGTCTGAGAGTAAAACTTTGAACCCCAAGCCAAAGTTTTCATTCATCAACAAAACTGATTGGAAGGTCTGTAAATGACAAGAGTGAAGTGGAAGAAAAGGAGATTTAGCCAAATAAAATTGACCTCTAATAATCGGGAAAAAAAACAGCTATTGAAGTAAGAGAAAGTAGAGGAAACACCAATTCTACTCCACAATATGAAAAAACAGTCATCACTCCTGAGCTGCAAAAAAATATCCAAAGGTATAAGCCAGAATTAAGGGAAGACAAGCAAAAGCTCAGTGCTTTAGTCAAAAATCTTAGGGAGTTTATTAATTGCCTGTATCAATTCCAGATATCACACAGAGAAAGGATATGGAAGATAGAGAAAGAATTGGAGAACTAGGTGTGACAAAGAATGAGTATTAGAAGGATAGATAAAACTACCTACAGGGCACAGTGTTCACTATCTGGGTAATGGGCCACCTGAAACCCAATCCCCACCACTACACACTATGTCCATGTAACAAATATGCTTGTGAATTTAAAAAATGACTGGCAGGAAGTATGAACTTAAATGTTGGGCATTGATTGTAGGGATTAGAAAATATGGACTGGAGGGTCTATTTAAGGAGAGTGGGCATGGGACTACTGGTTAGACTGGACTAGGCTAGCAGGAAGATGGCTATCCCAGAGTTCCATGCTTTCCATGGGGTTCCACCTGCTCAGTCTTCTTTCCTATGCTCACTGCTGCCTGCTGCTAGAATCTCCTCACTGTTCCATTTGCCCAGCAAGCCCATTTCTGCCTTTCTGCAGTTACTCACTGTTTCCCTAATGAGCCCAATGTCACCTAGCCCAGGGATCAGCCTACCATGACCCAGTCCAGAGACTATTTTCTTTTCTTTTTTTCTTTCTTTTTTTTTTTTTTTGAGTTGGAGTCTCACTCTGTCACCCAGACTGGAGTGCAGTCGCCGCTCCTGGCCACCGCAGCCTCGACTTGCTGGGCTCCGGCGATCCTTCCGCCTCAGCTTTCTGAGTAGCCGGAATTACAGGCAAGCGCTACCACGCCCGGCTGATTTTTTGATTTATTGTAGAGATGAGGTCTTGCCAAGTTGCCCAGGCGAGTCTCAAACCCGCGGGTTCAGGCAATCCACTCACCTCGGCCTCCCAAAGTGTAAAAACATTTATTATCTGGTCCTTGGCAAGAAAAGTGGGTTGAACCCTCATCCAAACCATCAACTTCTGCATACTCAAATTAGAGCAAGATCTACCACGCATCTTTTTCGTTCAATTAACCCAGGAATTCAATTCTTTGACATGGTTGCAAGAGTATTGCTTAGCATAAGCAACAAGTTACAAGTGTCATTTTTAGTACATATGTTTAATAACAAAAAATAAGTATCCTACACCAGAGGAAGAGTCCAAGTCCTATCTAAGCCCTCATTGAAGCCTTTCTTTCTTCACTAACCCAGTTCTCTATGTCTGTAACAGCTATATTACATGCCACACAATTTAGCACATAATTGTATACTCCGCTTTTAGGAAATAACCTTTATTATATGTTGCTGATTATAAAAGTTGTGTATTCATCACAGGATATTTGGAAAATATAAAAAATTATAAAGAAGAAAACCTGAAATTATGCATCCTTTCCCCATACATAGAAAACTGCTGTAATGTTTTGGTGAATATACTTCCTGTCTTCTTTCTCTGTATTCGTAAATACAGAGATAAGAGTAATATGCATTACAAAATCAGATGAGTCCTTATATGGGTATATATGACTATTTATAACCATTTCTTTCCTACTAAGTATCCAAGAAATTTCCAATATTTTACTCCTGTAAATAATTCATTGTACAAATCTCTGACAATTTCCTTAGTAAAGGTAAACACTATCTCTTTTTTCCTAATCACCTCAGTGTATAATAAAACTAATCTCCCCAATTCATTATAAGCTCCTAGAGGTCAAATTACAAAATATATTAATAAACAAGAAAAGGTAAAGCAAACAATGTACAATTACTGTCATCTTCAAACAGTTCTATGGTAATTTACAATGCTATTCATGCTTTAACTGCAAATTGAAACCTGACAATACAATTGAGACAATAAGTATTATACTTACAAGACTAAAGAGAAAAAGAGGTTCGCATTTATCTCTAAATGACTGCAAAGTCACAATGCTGTCAGCTTCTGCCTGAAAAAAATGTAAATATTTCATATAATAATAAAGGAAACTATATCCAAGTCATTTGACACACTATGTTCAAACCATGCAGAGATACATACAATTTTTATGTTTGCTGCAACATTTTCTAAGCATATTAGAGCTGTTTTAAGGATCAAATTGAATATACTGGAAATTCATGCCCTGCATCATTTGACTTCTGTCTTCCCTCACCGTTCCTCTTAACCTTCAGCCAAACTTATCTGCTTGTCCTTTCTTCCCCCAGAGTCTCTGGTTATGCCCTCCCTTACTAACCTAGCTCAAGTATCCTTCCTCCAACAAGTCTGACTTACTCCCTCCTGCTGTAAGTCATCTTTTGTTCCACACAACACTTTACGGCCCCTCTCTCAGGACACTGATGTCTCTTTAAATATTCAACTACAGGTACATGTGGGTCTGTCACGTCTGCTTTGTTACAAGAGCTATGGACACAGATAGGGTACATTTTATATCTGCTTTTTAAAACTTTTTTAGATAGGGTCTCACCCTGTCACCCAGACTGAAATGCAGTGACTTGATCATAGCTCACTGTAACCTCCAACTCCAGGGCTCAATCTTCACACTTCAGCCTCCCAAATGGTAGGACTACAGACATGTATCACCACACCTAAGTTTTTTATTTTTTATTTTTATAGAGACAGAGTCTTGCTATGTTGCCGAGGCTGGTCTCAAGCAGCCTAGGCAACTTGGCTCTCGACCTTAAGCAATCTTTTCCACTTCAGCCTCCCAAAGCGTTGGGATTACAGATGTGAGGCACCATGTTAGGCTCATACCTACATTTTTTATCTCATCTCTCCCTTTGTCACTCTCAGGGTCCTATATTAAAAGGAGCTTACTAAATACATCTTGAATGAATTTTAGTCAAATTTAAGTTTTTAATGTTTAATTTTCATTTTTTTAAAGCTTTCTTATGAATTTCTAGTTGTCCTAAATTGATTATAAATGACTATACATTCAATGTTAGTGTCTTCTTCCATATTGACATAGCATTCATTGGTCCAGTTACCAGAATGAGACTGTATCTGTTCTGTAAGAGTCAATGTCTTAATCAGTTCAGGGTGCTATAACAAATTGCCACTAACTGGGTTGCTTAACGACATGCATTTATTTCTTACAGTTCTGGATATCAGGGTGCCAGAAAAATCTCGTCCTTGATGAGAGCCCTCTTCTTAGTTAGGTCCTTACTTAGAAGAGATCACATCTCTTCCTTTTTTTTATAATGACATTGATCCTACTCTAATTACCTTCCAAAGTCCCCACCTCCAAACACCATCACATTAAAGGTTAGGTATTCCATGTATGAATTTTGAGGGCAAAATTCAGTTCATAGCAGTGGGTTTTTGTAAACTAAGGCAACAGTTTTCAAACTAGGGATTTCATCGTGTTTAGTGCAATATCATAAATAATGAATAACCCCATGGGACCCACACTTATTAATCCTAGTGATGTTGAAAATGCTCCCAAGAAGTAGAGAAAAGTCGTGACATTATAAGAAAAAGTTGAAATACTTGATAAGTACCATAGATTAATGTCTGTAGCTGTGGTTACCCAGCATTTCAGATAAGTGAATATAGTATAAACACCAAGGAAGGAAGAAAGGAAGGAAGGAAGGAAGGAAGGAAGGAAGGAAGGAAGGAAGGAAGGAAGGAAGGAAGGAAAGAAGACAACAACAATAACAAAAACCCTTAAACTGGGAGTGCAAAAGGTAGTCTATATAAAGCATAATGATTCCACAATTGCCATCTAGGTCAATTATAGCTTGTGCTTCCTTTTTATTATTCCACAGCATCTCTTTACTGCAGCTTCAGTGGTAAATCCCCCTAACATGTCAGTCTTTCTCCCTCAACTGGATTCAATCTTGTGGAGGCTAAAGTAACTCCATCTTGAATGTTAAACTGCCATGTTGACTTCTGATTAACTCCAGTTCTTGGAAGGCCTCTAAGATTTCCAATTTATCTATTGTTTCTTGTATAAGAGCAGGTACTTCCTGTAAATCCTGCCTGAAAGGGTAAACTCAGGCAAGGTGGGCCAGTGCCATGGGAAGTATGCAAGATTACAACAGAGAGGAAAGTAGAAGGAAGTAAAGTTTATTATTCACCTTTCACAGATGGAAAGGGGGCCAGCACTCAGGTGAGTGAGGCGTGGAATGCTGGAAACTAGGTGTGTTTAAGGGTTTTTAAAGCAAAGGGGTGTTAGACCTGGAAGAGGTCTGGGCCAAAGGAATGCCCAGAGTTGTATTCTTTGGTTTCCACAGTAGTCACATGAATCTAGTATTTTGACATCACCAAGCATCAATGTCTCATGACCTCAGGTGGTGGGCTGGAGGTTGTCATGGGTCATATGATAACAATATACCAATAAACATACCTCCTGGTGGTGTAGTGGAAGTCATCATGAGCGGCCAATAGCAATGCATTAATACGAATGCCTAAAAGATAGATTGCTAGCAAGACTGGACATGCTTAAGGGGTTCTGTGTAATCACCAGTTTCTAAAACTAAAGTATTTTTCTTGTTAGTTATTTTAGGGTAAAAGGACGTGTGGGTTGTGCAAATTGTGCAGCAAGGGAATGTCAAGGGGCAAGCCCTAAGCAAAATGGTTGTGCTGATTCAAAATGACCACACTCTAAATTTCTGAGGTTCCCTTTTTTCACTGCCCGTAGGTCACACAACCTTGATGTTATCATACTTAGATTGTCCCACACATCCCTTCTGAATCACCCTCTTCATGTGGTATATAAGACCTGCGTCTGGGGGGTATTGGCTTCTGTTTGTAAGTCCTTATTAAATGTTTCTTTCTAGAAACTGGATATGTCAGCCTCTTTCTTTGTCCTCTCAGCTTTCTTAGACTTTAGGGGTAGGTTTGCATAGATTTGCCTTTGCATAAGGGAAACTCTCTCAAACCAAGTTTTTCCCTCTGCTCTCACACCACAGCAATCAACACAGAATTAGACTTCTGTGACTAAATGTGGAGGTTTCTCCCACTACCAAGCAGCAGACACCAACCGAGTGTCCTTCTATTTCATCTCAACACTATGTACCTGGAGAGAGTGTAGATCCCACAGGTGGGCTCAGTCTTCCAACACTGCCTACTGCCAGACACCAGTGGCAAGTCCAAGCCTCCAGAACTTTTGACCAACCAGGTTCAAGTTAGGGTTCCCATGACTTCCTCTTTGGGTTCGATTAATTTGCAGAAGCGACTCACAAAACTCAGGGAAACACTTACTTACATGTACTGGTTTATCATAAAGGATATTGGAAAGGATACAGATGAAGAAACATGTAGGGCAAGGTATGGGGGAAGAGGCGCAGCGTTTCCATGCCCTCCATGGGTGTTCCACCCTTCAGGAAACTCCTCATGTTCAGCTATTGGAAGCTCTCTGAACCCAGTTATCTTGGGGCTTTATGGAAGCTTCA